CCCCAAAACCCCAAAACCCCAAAACCCCAAAACCCCTTAAAGATGTAAATCTTTTATTTTTGAAATTAGTCGAATTAAATGAAAAACTTTACATCATTTTAAATTTAAAATTATCAATTCTTAACGAATTCATAAATAATATGAAGAACACTTATTTTGATATTAGTTCAGTACAACTTACTAAATTTGAAGCGACAGACAAGATGCCATGCAAAATTGATTGTCAACAAACAATTATAGTACAATTGCTGAGATACTTACTCTAGATTAAGCTTTTGACAGGCTGGGGGATTTAGCTATATTTAATTTTGGGCCTCATCTATGTTTATCTGGGCTTTTACTACTGGAGAATTTATTGTATTTGCCTTTTCAATGCTAGAAATGCCTCCGAAATATTTATGTTTTAACTAAGATGGAACTACTTATGAATGTAAAGCTGAATAAACTTTCTGTAAGGATCCTTCGATAAGATATAAGATTAATTGGGACGATCCATCGAGTCTTCATAACTGGGTAGAATCGCTCAATTTGACTTGCGAAAGTGCATCAAGAGTTGGGATGATTGGATCAATGTTTTCATTGGGTAAATGGCAGGTGCTTTTACTCTACCAGGATTAACTGTAATTAAACGTTTCTTATTAAATTGATTAGGATCTATATGGTAGAAAGAAAATTTACCTGTAATCTATGGGATTGTAAACATTCTTCTATGCAGGTATATGCATATCAAAAAGTTTAAACGTAACCTTATTGCTAATTTGTGGATTCGGATTTGCATCAATAGGACGAGCATCTATTGGCTATATATATATGCTAGAAATGACCCCTAATAAGTATAAAACATTTATTGGATCATTTGCCTAAATTTCAGCAGGAGTTACTCCAGCGATTCTGGCGTTGTATCATCTCTATGTTTCTAAAGATTGGTTTCCTTTCCAAGCTTTTATTGCATTTACTACTCTCTTAGTGACTATATCAATAGTTGCACTTCCAGAATCTCCATAATACCTTATTAGCAAAAAGTAATATGATAATGCGAGAAATTCTTTGGAAACTATAGCTTGGTGGAATAAATATAAAGGCCCTCTAGATTTCAAGTTTAAAGATGAAGCAGAGACGCTAAAATAGAGTGATGAAGAGACTTATTTACTATTAAGAATACCAGATCAAGACTTGAATTAATATAAATATACTAATTATCAGAATGAGATTTAAGAAGACATATCAATCAATTGTGACACTATATCAAGCAACGGATAAGATAGAATAATATTGAAAGATCAAAATTAATCAAACTCAGGAAGTATAAAAGAAATCCTTAAGTAAAAGTAGCATGCTTGAAATCTCTTCATTATGATGACAGTCTGGATTGCAGCATCATATGACTATTATTTACTAAACTTTCAGATAAAGTACATCAAGGGTAATTTCTTTACAAACATTCTTGTAGCTTCTCTCACTGAAACTATTGCATACATAGTTAGTGGTTTCTTAGCAGAGAAAATAGGCATTAAAAGAGTTCTATTATTTTGTTTCAGTGTGTCTATCATTGGTGATCGATGCTAATTGTATTTTAATAAAGATAATAGGGTTATTTGATACCAGCTTCCATTTTACTTGCAAGATTTGGAATAAGTGCAGCTTATAATATTTGCTATTTAATAAGTGCTATAATATTTCCCACTAAATTTGCTGGAACTGCTTTTGGATTATGTAATTTATTTGCAAAGGTTGCAACCATTTTTTCTCCTATGGTAGCAGAAACCACTAATCCTATACCAATGATATCTTATTGTTTATTTGCATTAGTGCCTTGTATAATGGCTAATTTTCTTATTTTAGATGGAAATGAAGAAAAATAAAATAAAAATCAGAAAAAATTATGAAAAAACTTAAGAAATAATGACTGAAAGACAGGTAATAAAAATATTGGCTTAATTGATTAATCATATTCTGTATTATTTCATACTTCTGGGGTTTTGGGGTTTTGGGG